TGGGAATATAGAGAATATTTGCAATACAAAGACCGAGACTTAAACAAACTTTTTTTCACTTTTGATAACCTGGATAACAACCCCAAAAGCAACCCAATAGATTATGATTGTATGTGTTGGCGCGCTAATCACCTAAGAGAGAACTCTTAAACGATTGCACCTGCACAAGCGCACATGTTCAAGTAATAAAGGGAGTATTAAGTCCTAAGTTATTGTCTCGCAGAGAAAGTATAATTATATTGAATACCCAAACTGTGTTAAATAAACTTAAAAGCAATTAAGAATGTACAGAAAACATAATTGAACCATCTAAAGTTGCTCGTTCCCAACTATCACAACATCGTTCCCACTATAATAGAAAGTTCAGATCACTTTCTTTAATTCCTCGCATCATTATATATTTCAATCTTTCCTTCAATAGAAGGAATGACAATTCATAGGAATAAAATGTTGTGTGAGAATCGGTATTGCGCAGTACATTAAAAATTTTAAAAAATAAAGATATATCTCTTTTATTTTCTTATATTCAAAATTCTAGTATGTAAACAGAGTAAAAACATATAACAGAAAAACTGAGAAACGTCAAATAAGTGAAATAGGAATTGATTCACTTGTTCATTAACAATCAACTGTAACCTTGGCTCAGTACCTCATCCAATGAAATTTTTAGGTTACTTTTCATTTCCAAAGTTGATTCCTCAAGCACTTGGGTTGTTTGGTATACAAAATCTCGCGTTCCCTTGCGATTTCGTTCCCAACTTATACAACACCGAATCGCTTCAGGAACTTAAGGGTTCCTTATTCCTAAAGCAACCAGTGAAAGTGTTCCTTATTCTGCAGTCTGAAACCCCTTCTTTGTGGAATTTTCGTTTCTCAAATGATTTTAATTTCTGTTAAAATACCACAATAATAAAACAAAATACCATAATTCCATTGAAATCTGAAACCGATTTATAATTACAATGAGAATTAACTATAACAGTTCATCAATTCTTAAAGAAATTTAGCTCATGTCTACAGACATGGCCAAAAACAAATAAAAAGATCCTTCAACTCGAAATTCCATGATGGACTAATTGAATTCAAGAAGAAGATCAATAAGACGAAGAAGAAACATAAAATTACAAATTCCTAAAAGAAAAACTGCAATTGCAGGAAAATGAAAAAACAATTGCAAAATAGAGGACGAAGAAGATGGTGTTGTCTGTGAGGGAATAGGATCAGCTAAAAAGCTCTGTCTTTGACGTTTCTTCAGGCCGAGGCAATATAACAAGATTACCTCGGAAAAAAAAAATTTATTTGGAGGAGGGGGTGATGTATTTTGTTCCACCACAGAGAGTTATTTGATTATTTCATTTTAAACAATTTGTACGATACAATAGAGCAATCTAGGATTTAATGATTCCAAAAAGTGGATTCAATCCCTAAACATGATCATTTTACTTGGGAATCATAGATAATAAAAAAAGAAAAGAAAACCCTTTTATAGTGAAATGAGGGTGAGATACTTTTCTTTCTCTCTCCTTGTAACAACTTTTGTCATTTTCATAATATTTCCACTTTTTCCTTGCTTGGTTGTTATGATTGCTAGAGTAGTGGGCACCTTTTTTATGGGATATTTTGTCCACCTTGCAAAAGCAAAAAGTAAAATTTAGTGGAATTGAAACATGATAAAGTACAACTAATCTTTTTCACTTTTTGAAACTAATATTTCTTTTTGTCACCTCTTTTTCACACACTCGAGACAACATATTTTGTATGCATTTCCTTGATTTTTCTTTTAAAAGTGCAATTCGGGAACACATTAAGCAGTGTTTCCTTATGAAGGAAGGCTAACAATGGGGCTGGAACGAAGTTCCATCAATATGCTTTCAATAGCAGTAAGTAGTTCTGTATTGCCTACATGTGTTAGAAGCCTCCGCTATCTATCAACCAAGTAGAGGAAGATGTGATCTTATTAGATGATTTTCTAAACCTCTAGTAGAAGGTTCCATGAGGGTGAGAAAATAACATCAGCTGTAAGGGCTGAGGTTCTAGAAGCTTGATAATGCCACCTTGTCGTCTATTCATGGTTGTGTATAGTATGACCCACTGCTTCCACACGGTCATCATTAGTAAACATGACCCCTCGATTTCTTCTACCTTCATCATCGTAAAATACAACAAGTAGGGGCTTGTGGAGCGAGATTTAAGCAAAGGTAAAAAACACAACACACACACACACACACATTTCAGCGTATTTTTATATCACGCTTTGATATCACATTAAAAATGATATGCCAAAATGACATGTCTTTCATTCACTGAATAATGTCTATATAAAGATGAATATACAGATGTCAAATATGAAAAATTAAGTTATACGGCTAATATCCATTGCAAAAATAACAAAGAGAGATGTATGAGTTAGTTGAGTACATTGTGAAAATAACAAAACCTATCTAATCTTATTAATTCAAAAACATTTGAATAATATATTAAGTATGTCCATTGTAATAATATGAGATCAAATGAGAGGTTGTACTAGAATAAATAAATAAATAAATTTATCCTTAATTTATATCTCAATGATCGAGATCCTTTCATATGATTTCATATCGCATTAGAAGATTCATTCCCTTCTATAAATCTCAATAAAGGGTTAAAGCCTTGCAACAATAGCTATCTCAATGAGAAAACTCATAAATAGGCATCTGTTATACCTTGCAACTAGATCGTAACCTCGCACCATGCTTCGCAGCCCCGGCGCGCACGCTTCCTGGCTTTGCGTTAGTCTGAAATGCCAGCGTCACTAGCCGCGCCGCTCAATTGCAATCTAGAGACATAGTGGAAGGCTCTAATACCAATTGATACGAACATTGTGAGAGCCTCACCCAAAAGTTAGCACAAAAGGTAGGAGAGTCCAAAGTCCATATAAACCTCACACCAAAATCTTACATTTTCAATGTGGAACTCCAAATCTCATACCTTGCAACTGGATCGTAGCAATCATCTGATCCACAAAATTACAGCATCAACTATTTTCATATTCGCGGAAACACAACCCCCATTATAAGATTTGGAGGCATACTAATTTTACGATATCTGAAATGAAAATCCATTATTGAAAAAAATATTGTAGTGTCAAAACGTGAGTCCAAATCGTAAATAATAATTTTCACTACAAAAATCAAACTTGGACCAAACAGTTTTAGGGGGAAACAACTCTCATGTTGTATGAGAGTTATTTTCTCCAACCAATGATCTTTCGATTTTCGTACATTATTTTTTTTAATAGATATGGGTTACATACAAGATATGTTATAACATAAGATACATATCTTTTACTACACGATAAAATCGAAACCCATAGTTTTATTTGGAAAATAACACACATACATGTAGAATCTTTGGTTGCTCCCTTCTTTTGTAATTAAACTTTAGTAAGATCAGTCAAATTATTCTCCTATATATTTCTTCATATATATCCCTAATCAAATGTTAACCCAATCTCCAATGTTTGACTTTACCAGGACATGTTTACACATTCTGCTGGCGGCCGAAATAAGATATAATCATGATTCATTGAATTCAAACACCATGAATAAAAGGTTGCTGTATTTTCAATGCAACAATAAAGCCAGCTATATGTCCATATCACGAACCCAATTTGAGTTCTCGATGAACCTTGACGGCAGGCGTAAATATTCAACCACAAAATAACACTTTAGTCCTTGTAATTTTGAATATAAAATTTTTAGTGGAAAGAATGAATTTCAACCCAAACTTTGACATAAAAACATCAAGTTGGGGAAGAGGATAAGATATAGAAGACCCACCAACACCAAGGCACGGAATGGGTGAGCCAACAAATAGATTATAAAATCTAAGAAATAAAAAACACTTGGTTGTGAGCCGGTTACTGCATAATACCACTCACTGGTATAATAATTCCATCAAAACTGTGGCCAGAAGCACACCACTCTTATGGATGTTAATTATTGCAATTAGAACGGTCCCATTAGTATGTTCGAAGCACGACAAAAAGGCGAAATATAAGAAACAAAAAGTTTACGATTGAATTGGGTAATGCTGCTCTCATAAATAATTTTAGTGATAACAAATCCGTAGCTCTCAGGCCAAATTAGCCTAATCATATATAACTTCTACACAACTAAAAAAGTCGGACCAAAAAAAAAAACAAAACAAAAAACCAAAATTTTCCTTTGAATCGCTAATCATTGTTATAGTTGCTCATCAACAGCGTCATCGCTTAGAACATAATAGACCTTAGCTTAATTTATGTTATCAGTTCTTGTAATATTGCACTCAGTGGCGGAGTCAGTAATTTTTGTGAAAGGAAGAAAAAATATATGTATTATAAATTTTAAATTAAAAAATTGTGAAGTGAGCTAAAATTATATATAATCTAAAATACTTACTTGTCTACTAAAAAAAATACTTGCCCCAAATTTAATGGATTCAGTTACTAAAATTTGCAACTTTTGGGAAAATTAAAAAGACTCAAACCTAAAATCAAATCAATTAACCCGTTAGGACATCGGATACCTATTGATATGTACAAAAAAAAAAAAAAAAATTAACTTGCCACATAAAACAAGTTGAAATTGCACTTTTTGACAACTTTTACGGACAATCTTTAGTATTATATATTGAACAACCCTCACACGATTACAAAATGAGTCGTAATAATATGCAAAATTGCAGATAGAAGAAGACAGCAATAAACAAAAGAAAATGTGTTTATTTTTTTAAATAACACAATTTATATTCTTTTACTCTCACAAAGAGGTAGGATCCATACTTTTATTTTATTTTTTATCAACCATCTCTCTTCCTTTATCTATCTCTTTCTCTTTCTTAAAATAATACAATTTTAAATTCTTTAAAATGACACACATTTTATTCCATAAACAAATCCATTTCATTGCCGACAAATATTATTATATTCGTCGTACATTTCCAATTATTTCCAAACCAATAAATGAATCGCATCCCCGACAATACAAAGAATTCAATAGTAGTGTTACCTATTGATGTAACCGAGAAAAATAAATCAATAACTGAAATAAAATTTAAAAGGAAAAAGAAACCTAAAGTTTCCCTAACTACGTAGTTACCCATATTGCTATATGTATACATGTAGTATTGTAGTGTGGGGACTTGTGCTAACCACAATATCCGAAACAATTGGTTTTTGAGGAGAAAAAAAATGAAAAGAGGTGGTAGGGTCTTGGGCTTCAAATCAACGGGTGAGCTTTCCCTTCAAATGAGTCACGTCCCAGTCAGCATGGCCAAATCCGTGGGCCCTACTTAACTCACGTGGTCCATGCTTATATTTGGGTCCCACCATCCTGTTTGTTTGGGCCAATGAACGTGGAGGTGTGCTTATATTGGAAGCTCATGGACCTAACCCTGTGAAAAATGCTGAAGCAAGGAGTAGTTAGAAGAGCTGGCACAACCGCCAAATAGTCATAGCGATGCTAACAATGCCGGCAATAGCTTGGGATTCGAACACATGGGTACACATGGCCCATGATATTTCACTTTGATCTGCACCTTCGTACACCATTGTGCCGTTGTTAAGCAGTGGCAAGGCAGGAGCATCTTGCCCCTGTGACGCCTTCTGACTGCAAAATAATAAAAATAAAATAAAATAAAATAAAGAAATCAGAATAATAATTATGAGAAAGCAAAAGTAAAATGGAACTATGAATACAACAAACACTATTCCTAGAAGAAAACAAAAAATGGAAGTCACAACGTGTCCCTGTATGATTTGTATAACGGTCATGAATCCCACCGCTAAGTGGTTACTTCAATGCCAACATACTAATAATGCTGTGCAACGACGTGTGTGCCAGCCCTTATTTTGCTAACCCTCCATGTGCATAAAATAAATAAACTTCCTATGCTATTGAGAATCGGGATAAATTATAATAGTGACTTTTCCTGCGTTTTGGTTCAAGATATGGTCCTTGGTCCCTGTCTAGGAGACCCATCACGATATATATGAATTATGGAGTAGGACATACATAATTATTATGCAAGCCATATCTGGTCTACATTTTTGTGCTTAGTACAATTTCAACATTTATTTTTATATATTATTTTATTTTGTTTATATTATTCATCAATTTATAAATAATAAGACTTGAGAAATAAAGTTTTCTTTTACCAAATTTTAACACAACTATGCTACTTGAAATTGAAATTATTTATTAAACTAGAATAATCACTTATCATATTTCAAAAAAAGAAAAAGAATAATCACTTTTCGGTTGATTGATTCACGTGATTGGTGATTACAGGACATATTATTTTATTACATACTCTAGGGGTGCGAATTTATTGAGTTGCTACACGAGTCATTTTCCCATAAAAAAACGAGAAATAAAGTGTCATTGTCACTCCCACCCAACGTTCACATTTGACATTCGTAAATTGTAATCTATAATTGTATATATTAATATTATATAGTAGGCAACGGTTTTTAATTCGAGTAAGAATATTTTAACTATCAAAAGTTTTCACTACTAACTTATTATCAGAGCTGGGAAAACGGGCTTGGCTCGACGGTCCAATCCACTAAACGGGACGGGCTGAGTTTTTCAACCCATCTCAAAAATGGGACGGGGTGGGACAGGGCGGGCTCATTTTTTGGCGAGTTGATGGCGTGCATAGGCGGGCCGAAGCTGGTCAGTGTAAAATAAGCTCGGGCTGGCTGGCCAACCCGCCAAATGGGGCGGAGCGGGCTGACTCATTTTTTAGCGGGTTGATGGCAGGGTGGGGCGGGGCGAGCCGCCACTTTGCCACCTCTACTTACTACTCATCACATCATTATTGGATCAAAAAAAGAGATAATGTTACCCATCATATCATTATTGGATCACAAAGAGAAAATGTTAAAAAAATTTTGAAGGAAAAAAAAAATATTAATCTAATGATAATTAGATAAATAATTAGTTAGTATTAAAAAAATCTGACAACGAGAATATCCTTCCTCTTTTAACCCGTTAGAATTTTTAACCGTTAAAGTAGAGAGAAGTATATCTGACAAACCTGGAGCTCGGAGGAGGGCAAAACGTGATAGTGTAATCCGCAGCTGCACAAGTGAAGGTGCTGGTCTTATCGTCATACGCGTAGCTATAAGCGCGTGGGCAAGCGGTCTTGAATATCTGAGAGTAAGATGAAGGCTTGCAAGTATCCGGTGTCGCAAACGCGCCGCTGCAGCAATACTGAGGCGAACCAAAAGCCTCGCACGCGCTCTTGCAAGCGACGCCCACGCCTTCATTCCCATCCACGCTCGTCACTTTAAGCTCGGAAGGGCACGCGCCGTTAAGATCCCCGACGCAGCCCGTGCTGGTGCAGTTGTCGCCGGAGCCACCCTGTGGGACTACCAACATGGGCACGTTGAAGCCGTCAACAAGGCTAACATCGAAGAAGTCAAGGCCTCCGGCGCCGTCCAAGGTGAACTCGGCTAACGTGGCCGGCGGCGTGGCTCCGTTGCCGGAGCATTCTATCTTGCCGGAGCCACAATCACCTGTGACGCAGGAGAACTTTCCGGTGGAATCTTGGGAACAGAGGGTTCGGCCCCAGAAGCGGCCCCCCCAAGAAGTGGGTGCGGTTATGGTGTTAGAGTCACCGGTTTGCAGAACCAAGCCTGTGGTTGAAAGAGAAGGAACACCAGCATTTGATAAAATCCCCGGCCACACTGTGTACTCACATTTGTTAACTAAAGTGAATTTCGTCGAATTTACTACCCCTGCAATATTCATCAGAAAAATATACATTCATTAATTAGACCATAGCATTGACAAAATTATAGTATCAAGCCTAAGTTTTGGTAATTTTCGCTTCGGTTATAGATTACCTGATATTGATAAATGAAGTGTTAATAAGAATGGGAATAATAATAGTGTTGGGCGATCCATGTGGAAATTTATACTTAATTAAGAGTATAGAGGATGAGTAATCTAATATGAAGAAATGAGAACGAGGAATAAGAAGAACTTGGAATTATACGGAGGGGCTTAGGGGTATTTATAGAAGTAAAGGTTCGACGAGTGCTGAGGATTTGGAATAGTTTGTGGGGCCCTTTGATTTTACCCAAGCTTTTCGCTGGGTGTCTATGTTGGGACAGCATACTGAGAAAAATAACGTTCAATGTTTCTTTGTTTTATTTAATTTTCATTTCTCAAACGCATGTCACTATGTCAGCATTTACTGTTCGAATTACACGAATTTAGGAATAATTAACATAATATGAATTAGAGCTTGTTTGGAATAATTTTTTTGTAAATAAAAGTTATTTTTAAGTTAAAGTTAAAGAAAGAGCTTATAAAATAAAATTAATGTTATGAAATTGATAAAAGAGATAGAAAAAGTAAGAGAGAAGAGACACATAAATATGGTAGAATCTTATTCTCATTCATCAAATAATACTAATACAAGTATCATATATATATATATATATATATATATATATATAGAAAGATATAACCATGAATGGGGAATTCATGCTCCATTAATGTAGTGGTTAAGAGCATAGTTGTTAAAATCTCGATTTATCACTATGATTTTGCGTTTTTATGATTTTTTTTTTCTTCATCAAAACGATTTTACCAATATTCCAAACGCTTTTACATTTTTACTATTTTTTATGATTTTTTACATTACGATTTTACGTTTTACGATTTTTTAATTCCCTTCCGATTTTACTTAAAATCTCGATTTTAACAATATTAGTTAAGAGATAATTGTAACGTTAATAACGTCATCAGTAAATGCATCATTAGTGCCAACAATAACGTCATTCATAATTGCATCATTAGTACCAACGATAACATCATCCATATTTTACAACACTCTCCCTTGGATGACTGTACACTATGGATATGCCTCATTAAAATCTTGCTAAGAAAAACTCAGTGGGATAAACGCTTAGCGAAGGAAAAAGAGTACAATATTAATATACAAGCTTTTGTTATACGCTAACATAGACTGCCTCGTTAAAAACCTTTCCAAGAAAAACTCAGTGGGATAAAAATATGGCAAAGAGAAAAAGAGTACAGTGCATATAACTCCCCCTCAATTAAGTCGTATAGCTACTGCTGGAGCTAAGACAGTGGAGTAACAGTTATAATTTTCCATAATAGCAATCTCGTAATCTTCTCTCATAGTAAATTGTAATTATGTCCATTTATAACATTTGATATGGACATCGTTGCGCTAATATCCATGCCTCGTTAAAACCTTGCTAGAAAAAATCCAGTGAGAAAAACTAGCGAAGGAAAAAGAGTACATGACATGCGCTACCAAATCATTACGTAAACTATATCATTAAAAACCTTTGGCTAAGAAAAACCCTTTGGGACAAAAATTAACAAATGAAAAGAGTACAATAATAAACTTTCAGGGCTCATCCTTCAGGGATATAGTCATAATTAATTCACTCCCCCTGATAAAAATAATCTATCAAGGAAGTCGACTACGCTTAACTTTACAGCCTTCCATAACATTGTAGTGCTTTCACAGAGAGATGCATCTCTACTCTGTGATTATATAGTCAACACCAAAGTTTTTCACCAATGTAAAATCTTCATATCAAGGACAGATCCTCAAAAATATGATTAAAGTTATTCCAATGTCATAAGGAGCAACACTATGTCTAGCTAGAACTTTTACTGTAAATGCAATATCAGGCCCGATTGCAATTTGCAGAGTATAATAGAGTTCCTTATGATGCTTAAGATTAGGAACTTTAGGTCCTAATATTTTCTCATTAATTTCTTTTTGGTCTAAATGGATCTGTATTCACTTTTAGTGAATGGACCATCATTGGATCACTTATATATTAACATTGGTGAAATAACCATTTTGGAAGATGCTCGATCTGCAAGTCAAGACATATAATGATCTTTGAGCTCGAAGCTAAAGATGTTATGACTTTCATTCTTTTCCACATGTGATATAGGAAATCCTTCAGGGATAAAATCACTATCAAATGAGCCATATATATATATATATATATATATATATATATATATATATATGTTGTCAAAACGTTCATAAGACGTGTTTCCAATCTTACAAAGACTATTAGGAAAATTAGAAAAAAATTATAATTATATCCATCATAAGTGAATATGTCTCACCATAATCAATCTCGGGTCTCTGAGAGAATCTTTGGGTAATAAGTCAGACTTTATATTTCACAACCTTATTTTCTCATTTCGTTTTTGGACAAATACCCTTTTATATCCAACAAACTTTATATTGTTAGGAATTCAAGTTATAGAGAATCCTTCGGGGATATAAATATTATCATCAAGTGACCTTGTAGTCATGACGTCCATTAAATGCATCTTAATATGCACCGTAGTTGCCATACAGTCACGATGTCCATTAAATGCATCTTAATATGCATCATAATTGCCATACTGACTAAGTAACGGAACATAATAGAATTCATTGCGGGAGAATAAACATTACAATTGATGTAGGGTCTCTGCAAAAACCTTTGTTCATTCTTAATTGCCTCCTTCCATTCATTCTCATTTGAATGCTTCTAGCATTCTTGAATGGTTTACGGTTCTGAATCCAAATTATCTCTTAAAGACAGTAAGACTTACTGAGAAGGCAATGGTGTCGCCGACGACAAGTGATGTTATCATATTTTCTCTCATACCACTATAGTGTATTTTAACTTTTATCTTAATATCAACCAAATCTTTATCGTTTTCCATGACTTCAGATTTGGGTGTTCCGTATTCCCGGGATTATTGCAGTTAGCAGCTCTGCATTTATTGCACCGAGTTTACTTTCTTTAGGATTAACCTCTTTAGGAAGCACGATGAGGGACTTATTTTCATTTTCCGCGGATTTATGTTTTTAGTTTCATTCACGCTTCCAATGTTGTCTAGACTCAAACAAATTTTGTGTCAATAAATTTTCCATATATATATATAACAATCTCACATTGCTTGGGAAAAAACCTTAGGCACATTGAGAAGTAGTATAAATAAAATAATACATAGAGGAGTGTTAAAATAAGAAAACAGGTTATAGTATATAAATAAGGGGGTTTGATTTTCTCATGTTGTGACTCAACTAGTGATGGGCTCCACATTTATTAAAAAAAGAAAAAGAAAAGAAAAAGCTTTGTACGCAAATCGAAGGGTCACAACATGAGAATTGAATTCTCATGCAACATGAGAAAATGTTTTCCCATAAATAAGATGTTCTTAAAATAAGAAAACAAAATATAGTATATCTTACGTTTAGAGTATTTCAAATGATATCTTAAGATTGGCAGTTTCTTTATTTTATTTTTTTTATGATTTATTTCCTTATTTTAAAATGTTTTATTTAATATAAATAGTGGTTATTGCTTCGAATTCTTTTATCACACCATAACATATCACTTCAAACACATTAATATGGAATATTGCACAATATTTTTCTTTTTCATCCATGTATGTATAATTTCAAATATATATATATATATATATATATATATATATATATATATATATATATATTCTAGCTTGCTCCCTAATTAAAAACTGATCAATTAATTATTTTAAAAAATTTAGATTGCATTTTGTCTTTGTTTATTACACGAATATATTTTTCAGTGTACAATTATATAACTGTGGTAGCTTGTGTATAATTATACAATTCTAATTCTATATTTGTCATTTTTTTTGCTCACTTCTTTTTCCAAGGTAGGTAGGGGGTCGCATTTATCTCCTCCAAATTCAGTTCTAATTATTATTTAATATCATGCCTTAACTCATAATATTTAACAAAATGGAAAAACTTTAGGCGTACAATTTTTTGGATATATCTATTGATACATCGATCACTCGATAAGTTCAGTTTGAGCACCGTCGAATTCATTATAGGGACAGCTTTCTCAATACCATTTTCTCTATTATTCTTGGAATTGAATTTGAGATTTCTAATTAAGGGGAATAGAACCCTTGCCTCCTAAACCAATAATTATTAATAGGTGTACAACTTTTAATTTGCAAAGGAACAAATTATGATAGAAGAAATGTAACACCCTGTAATACTCTGGTTGTTATTATTATGATATTATAGCGTACACAACAGAAGATTTTATTAAATAATTAAAGAGACGTCTGGTAAAAATACGAATAAACTTTTTCCAAAATATTTTCTGAAAGCATTTCTAAAAACGTTCATATGAGATTTTGCGAAAGCGTAAAACAAATACATACATCTACTAATTAATCACATTAGCCAGTATTAGTGGCCATTGACTAACCGGATATAACCACAAGTGTCATTCCTGCCAGAGTCTCACGAACAGCATAACGTTTGTTTAACGGATAATGGGGAGATAAGAATCTCACACACAATCACACCTGATAAACACAGTTAAGTAACAGACAACTTGCAAGTCCCACACGGACTGTAATCCTCTCAATGGGTCAGCACATACATAATGGCTATGTGCCCAATTTAACAAATCCATACATCATGTCTTTATGCACTCATCACGTGCATCTAACATAACTCATAATATATACATCCATAATCCAAAGGCTCAAATAGTAATATTTTTTTAGCATTATTACGTATTTCAACAGAGTCTCAAAATACGCTAACTAGGCATGTCAACACACTACACATGCCACATAATCAAATAAAAGCGTAAAATAAACAGCAGCATCAGTTCACTAATCCGTAGCTGGGCCCTTGCCCTTAGAATACTCACAGCTACCGTGGGTACCTGAAATGATGTCCCCAAACGGGGTGAGATAACACATCTCAGTAAGCTCAAGGTTCATAGAGGATCCTCTAATCCCCTGAGCCCACTCTCTGCACGACAAGTCAGATATAAAGCATATAATACAAGCATACAATATAAACATAGCATCACCATATCATCCTTGTGTAACCCCAGGGTCAAATCCATAGACGGTTATACATGTGTGACTCTAGGG